GAAACAGATGATGATGAGCTAAACAGAAATGTAATTCAAAATTGAAATTTTTCATTAAGTTTTAATCTGTAGAGAAAATGATCACCTCAAATTTGAATGTTTTATATACGGACACGACAGTGATGATAGTCTGTCATTGTTTATTATACTTATTATATGGAGATTTTCTAAACACATATAAACAAAAAAATGTAAGTTTGAAAACTTTTTGCCCTCACAGTTACTTTGTATTGATGCTGATTACATATAATGGCCTCGTTTTTGGTAAAAACATGAAGACATTTCAATGAATGCTAATAATCTCTATAAATTTCAACTATATGTAATGTTTGCCATATGAATAACAAGATCTGTGTAGAAGTTCAGTGCTATTATTTCTGTGTCAATATATCTATGTGTATGAACATCTCGATGATGTGTGATGTACATACTTTCTACTAATATAGACTTTAAATGATTACAGGTTTTTCTCTTTCACTCTTGTATATGCATGCATATGTGTCCATAACTTACATGCAGATATATAAACTAGGTCCTTGGTTATTTGTAGTAAATTGGTTTCAAACACCCCCACCACACACACACACCACCACCACCACAGATGATAAAGCCCATTGTATAGTAGAGCAGACAAAACACCAGGAAATTTATTTGAGTTAAACAAAAAGATTAGAGCAGTCATTTGTCATTTTTAAAAATTAATTTCAGCTTTTCTTCTCAGTATATGATGATTAAAACTTCCATGAAGACATTTAAATTGATTGTTTTATATTTTAAAAATACTATTATTATTAAAGACATATGTTATGTCTGTGTGTGTGTTTTTTTTTTTTTTGTTTTACTCCTCAGAAATATATTTTTCAAAATATATGTAATGGCACCCAACAATGGATAAGTGAAACTGTGATGGAGAATTATATAATAATCCTCATGTATGTATATTTATATAATAAATGCAAATATCAGTGTGTCATTATGTTACACTTTTCAACTTTATTCCTATAGGCTGTAGCCTAACATATCAGGAATCAGGCTAACTCCATGAGCAAATTAAAAACATTCCAGGCTGGATGTGGATCTGCAATCCTGAAATTTTGGATTCCCAAGTTTTCATTACTGCGATTGTGTTCGGCGATTTTTTATGTGATTTTTTGAGACAAACTTTTTTGTACAATAACTTATATTATAACTTGAAGATAAATTTGGGAATAATCAAAATTAATTGCAAAATCCAGCAAAGGTCACACATGAAATAAAAATAATTGTTTGTACAGAAAGTAAGGACAACGTACATCGAATTGTCTTTAACTTAAGTGGTGGCAGAAGTATTATTGTTGGATTTTTAAAAGGTAAGTATAAGTATTAATGAAATACTTAAATGCAGTGATCAATTTTGAGTTCTTGTGTAGTTTATTACAAACTTCCCATAATCTCTCTCAAATGCTCATAGAGAGAAATCATGGGAAGTTTGTAGTTTAAAAACAGTAATTTAACTTGCTAACCGGGTGCTTCCTCTGTAGCTAAATGGTATAGCATGTCAGGCTATATGATGGTTCTGTGTAGGATGTAGGTTTGATTCCTGTCAAAGGACACTTATTTTCTTTGAGATTTCTTAGACACTCAGGCTGGTACTGTTTATTATAAACACAGCATTTACTCAAATATCTGTATCTATAAAAATAACATATAAACAAAATAAATATATACATATTCAAATATTATCATAATGGATAGATCTTATTTGAACTAGACACCCCATTTTTAATTATTTATTAAACAGTTTTCAATATGCGTATCAGCCTGCATAGCCATATTGCAAATTGTTTAATAAATAAATAAAAATGGGATGTCTATTTCAACCACTATATTAATATTTGAATAAAAATGTAGAATTCAAAAGAAATTCATTAACTCTTTAGAAATATATATATATATATATATATTTATATTTAAATGTAAGATTTTTTTTCCAATTGTCATTTGATGCCAATCTGTCTTGTCCACAGAATTCATCTGGGAATTTAACTATATTGTTGACATGGAAAAAAAAAAAAAAATAAAATAAAATAATAATAATAATCCCTTACTATAAAAGTAATTTACATTAACCAGAAAAAAAGGCTTACACAGAAGCGTCTATCTTTTTAAATTTGGATTTTTAATGTAACTATAACAACAAAAACATTTTGATTTCATTTTTGCCTTGAAAAAGTCAGAAGCCAAAACACGTCGGCAAAATGTAAGATTTTTTTCCAATTGTCATTTGATGCCATATATATATATATATATATATTGTTAAAAACGACAAGGTACTGCAGTTTAGCTTTTAGACCTTAACATCAAACATATTAACACACCTGCAAAATCATAAATTTAAAAAAACCAACATTATTTACAAGTTCAAATGCCCTTTAAAGAACAGTGTTCCTAATCAAAGCAAATAAATAATAACATTAGTCACACTACTACATGCCTATTCAGGTGATTTACATTACACCTATTTGGCCATAGCTGCATTAGAACTCATTTAAACATGCACAAAAATTCTATCAGATACCATTCAAAATGTACTAGTAGAAAAAACCAGTATAATAACCTCATCTATATGT